CCTCAACAAGGGCTATTTTTCTCTTTTCTTCTTTGTCTCGAGCTCTAATTTCATCGGCAAAACCCCCCAATTTACGATAATCAAACACAATAAGCTCAAATATGGATCATTCATGGCGCCCCAGAGTACCATCAGGTAATCTTTGCCCAGTCTGCTCGAATTCACACTTCCCATTTTGTCCTCCCTCTTTCCCAGATTTCACCATACCACCCCCTAAATTTCCGCCTTCACGACTGCAATACGTAGATCAATTCTACCAACGACCCCCGCCACCACAGCCGCCGAATGATCCAATTTTTGATCATCGTGGCCCCACAAACAATGCTTATCCACCGCCACCGGTGCCGCATAGGATACGGAACGGTAATTCTAATTTTAATGGGGACACGTATGGGAGTACGGATCCTGTGTATGATTTTAATGATGGTCAGGTTGGTGTCAAGAGAATGAGATTCGAGGATTCGGGCCCTCCTCCTGGCCCGTATATGAATGAACATCACGTCAATTCATTGCGGGTTTTTGCTGAGGATGAGAGGAGATTGAAATTGATACATGACCATGGAGCAGCGAGTCAAAATTCAGGTACTAATCACTATGGTGGGTATAAGATTTCCAGTAGTAATTTTAAGAGGAGTGGTTTTAGCGATCTGGGTTTTGGGCGCTTTGAGAGGGATGGGGGATATTGTCTAGAAACTGATTCGAATATGAACCGAAAACGTGTAGAGCATTTTGAGTATCAGTATAATGAAAATAATAAGAATCCATATAACCGAACAGGGAGTGATTTGATTCAGAGTCGCCCATATGGAACTAATGGTCATGAAGCTGATGGTTACATTGATGCGTTATGTAAAGAGCAGAGACAGGGAGGCCGGCAGTTCAACAATCAGTTTCCACAGTCGTATACTATGCAACAACATATAATGGAGCCAAAACCTGCCAATTATAGATTATCAAATTTGAGTGGGATGAATATGGGTCCGATGAAGGATTCTCTGGTGTTTAGTGGCCAGCCTCCACTGCCCAATTCACCACCGCCACCCCTTCCCTTGGAGCAGCCGGTGCGCCATTTGTCAGAGCATGTCGTTTCATCGCCTCCAGCAGAAACGAGCTCTTTGTTTCCAATTCCAGCTGAATCTGCAGCCTCTTTGCTGTCATCAAGTACTGCAGTTTCTGAAGCAATCTCCTCAGCGCCAGTGTATTATCCAAGTAAAGCCTGTCTGAATTCAAGTGGTTACCCAAATGAGGTATGCTAGAGAGTACTTTATTATTTCTGCGATCCACTCTGGTCATTGCATTGAAGTGTTACAATTTTGACCACAATATATGGTCATGACTTAAATTGACTTGAAAGTGGGAAGTTTTTGTGTATGTAAGTAGATATGTATTATTTGTGTGAAGCAGTTGATATAACATATAAAGATCTGATTTTTTTGGTCATTTTTGAAGAGGCTTGCTTCGAATCTGGTAGCACATAAGGATTCATACAACCAACTCAAGTTTATTGAAATAATGCTGAGTTTTTCTTATTGTTGGGCGTAATGGTTATGTAATTGAAGTCAAGTGCTTATTGCTTGCGTGCTGATTGAGTAATGTAGGGAAGGAGCTTGAGGACTTTCCATGCAGACTGAATCACTTGAAAGAACAAGTCGGAATCATGTGACTGTTGAGTGCCTATTTGCTTTTGGTTGGAACTCGAAAGAAAATTTCTCAGATTTCTGCATTAAATGTTCCTATAGTGTTATAATTTGATTATCCTTTTCTATACTGGCATTACTTTGCAGTACTCTATATAGATTCTGATAATTGTGCTCTACAGGAAGTTCGTGCAATGCGGACGGCTCCATCCAAGACAAAATTGGTAGAAAGTGAACAGTTTCCTCCTCGGCAACTCTCTTCTGACAAACCGAAAGTTATTGATGCCTCATACATTTTGAAGTATCCACATCGTGCTACCCGCCCTGATCATATTGTTATAATTCTCCGAGGACTTCCAGGTTTTTTCCTCCTTTAACCCTTTTTTTGGCAAATTTCCATCATGCTACTGCCCAGTACCACCTACAAAATCACATCATTTTTTCTGAGAATTAGTTTGAGCTTGTTCAAAGCTGTCTAACTATTTATTATTTGGAATAAAATGCCATTAACTTCGAACTTTGTATTCGAGAAACTTGGACCTTTTGTACATGTATTGACTGTGTACACGACTTGAAATGTATGAAAGGAACCTAGAAACTTGTGATTTATGAATATGCTGAGGAATTTTTTATTTGAACATGCATATTACATTCGTATTTTTACTATCTTGTTGAGCATAAACTGAAGATAATCTTCAAGCTTGAGTCACTTTTGGTTGTTGTGAATAGACTTCAAACACACTCTACAGGAACTATAACAGTAGTCTTGCTGTTTGAAAAGAATTTGAAATTGTCACAAAATTGGTTGCTTTTGTGACTAGTTGGGCGTGCTAGAGAGGCTTTAATGTGTGATTAGCTGGAACTATGGAAAGGTTGGTGTAGTTACGAATACCAGTATATGCTTATTGATTTAGCATAATTTCTCAGTTAATTTTTAGTAC